TTTATTCCATTGGTTTTCTAGAATTAGGTAATCACCTCTAAAATTGAATGATATTATTTCTAGACGAAACTGTTGGCGATCATAAATGAGACGCTAAAAAATAAAAATAAATCGAGAAAAAAAAAAGAATGCAAAAAGATAAATGAATAATAAATTTATGCTTTTATTCACTGAACACTCAGAGTACAATCGTTAATGTCCATTTATTTAGCTTTACAAATCATACAGACAAGCAGATATGTAACCACAGTCAAACTTATTGAACAGAAACTAATAAAACTACAGAGTTGTGCATTTTTTTTATTTTGTACTTTCTGAATTGTACTTTTTATTTTGTCCCCCGAGAACAGAAAATTTATTTTTTCTTTCTTTTTTAAATCTCGCCCTTTCTATTTGTTTGCTTCTTCCTCCCTACATATGCACACAAAACAACCACATAAGTTTACATGGTCAATTTTTTACCTCGCACGAATGTAATATCCCTGGATTGTATCTTGAATTTAATGTTAAAATCGATTTTAAATTATAACTTGAAGGTTTGTAAGTTTATGTTTTTTTTAATCAGTTGTCTAAACTGCTGAGATGAAATACAGCGTTTGTTCAGTATGTGACTTTCTTGAATCTTTTTAAGTAACTGAACATGTATTACATCCCTTTGAGCGACATGAAACTTTTTATCCTCTTCACGTTGCCGAATGAAACCTTTGATCAGTGAAAATTGGAGAAATAACAAAAGCCGAAATGTGTTGAAAACAACAAAGTTAAAGATTTCCAAAATGAAGCATTCATTTTTTTCGAATAGAAATCAAATAATCACCGAGAAGAAATTCATAAGAAAAATTAATTTACAACGTGATTTGATATTGAACAATTATTTCCAATATTTTGTGTCCCTAAAATCTTGACAGATTCAGCTAGATTATAAATATAAAACGTATGTGATGATGTGTGCATGAGTGGAGGCATGAAGTTGTTTTAACGCTTTGCACTACAGAAAATGGATTCAAATTCCATGCCCGGGTAATTTGTAATTATTTCGTGCTAATGCACTTGGGAAAGGTATGAATACAACTCCCCCCAAAAATATCAGGTCGGTAATTACGCTCTACTGCTGGTACCATGTAACCCAATACAACCTGTCTAAGTCAAGAGGATATGGACACTACTAAGTAACCAACCCTATGTCATGAAGGACCCAGCATGATATTTCGAGAAACAACTGAGTTATGGATTTAATTTTCTTTTTCTTATTTACGCGTAAGTGTGCATGTACATAAACAAATGTGTCACCACAGAATAAATTTGAAACAAAATGTTTCCCAAAGAACACATATCATTATCGCCACTTCTCCTTGGTAACAATGCCCCCAAAAGAACTTGGTCTCTTTCGTTTTCACCACATCTAGCCTATCAACAATTGCCTCCGTGAATTCACTGTAAATAGCTTTCGATGCACAATCCTCTATGATTAAGTGACAATTATATTAGCGATATTGATAGTTTTGAGTCGTTATTAAAATTAAATTGTAAGCTTTGTAAATGAAAATATCACATATGTGAATATATTTCCCATTTTGATTAAAAGATATACTCTTCAAAACACTGAAATTTTATTTGCAAAGAGAGACAGTAACATATATAGAGAAAACTAACAAGAGAGATCGAGAAAGAAAGAAAGAAAGAAAGAAAGAAAGAAAGAAAGAAAGAAAGAAAGAAAGAAAGAAAGAAAGAAAGAAAGAAAGTGTGAGATAAATGAATGAGAGGAGAAATGGAGAGTGTATTAAAAATTGCGTATTGCCTAAAAATTAATTTGTAATTTAATGAGTAGTTTATTTCGATGTAGACTATGATGAATGAAAGCTGATTATTTTCTTTAGCATGTACGTGAGAGTATCACAGAAGTCTTTGAGATCGAACAACAGTATTCTGATATTAATGGCCATCCTGCATGAACAACAAAAGTAAGATTTCTACTAAAGGCATCACAGAATTCACGTCTTTGTCTACTTTGCTCTAATTAATGAAAACCAATTAAAATAGATAATTTATTGACTTTTTGAAATTTGAAAATATTCTCAATGAGAATAGATAAATTTGGGGATAACAGCGTCATTTTCGTGTTTTCAATCAAAGAAAGTGTATGAAACAATGAATATTCTAGTAAAATTTTGGTTGGCACAAACAGTTTCGGGGGAAAAAACTTTCTAAAAATGTAGAAATACAAACAACTTATATATTTCAGTTGAAATGTTTTCGTCTATATTGTTTTGCTTGACTTGCATCTAAATGCTTTTTTTTATTTTGCAAAACGAATTTTTCCAGTTGTGATAATCCGTAACTATGAATAACAAATAGAAAATACTGAAAATAAAATAACACTGGAAAATTCTTGCTTTTTTTTTTTTAGTAGATTTTGCCATTTTTTTTTGGTTATGCTATTTAAATGTTTAATATATATATATATAAATATCATCCTCGTTTCATTTATTCAAGTCGAACGAGACATGAGTCGAATGAGACAAGTCTCGTTCCATTTATTCCAAGTAACTTTAGCTTTTTGAAAATAACAGTGTGTAAGATTTGTTTCATTCTTTCATCATTTTTTATTCAAGCTCCAACAGCCAGTTACTGACTTTCATCGTTTGACGGTTATTGTTAATTTTCAGCTTTTCCCCATTTTTATTTATTCGCGTCCAGAAAATCGATTGAATCATGAATGAAAACATCAGATAAACTATTCTGGGGATCAGATTGATTTGCGCAAATTTTCCAGTATTTCTCCTTTGGTCCGTATCAATTCTACCCAGTAACATTCGCTCTATGCTAGATGTCTCATTTTTTTTTATATTCCTTCATCAGGAAACTGATGTATAATAGATTCGGTGCTTTAGCTTTAGGATCGTTCTCATTACTGCCCATCGTCTTGGTTTAAGTGACGAAATTATTATTTTTATATTTTATGTATATGAATGCTTAATCCACATGTCAGACAGTTATTGCTTAGAACTGAGGGACAGCATGTTTCCACAAAGCTACAGTATATTTCACAAATTCTAGCAGTTAAACAATCTCAATACTACCTCGAATATCTAATCCAACCTCGCGTCTAGTATTTTTGGTACCTGTTCCAACTGCATTATGATGAGCACGACTTCAGATTCTACAGTTTTCACATGCAGTGACACAACTTTTCGCTTTTTTTCCTCTTCAACCTATGGTTCTCTAGCTTAACCATGAAATGGTCAACCTGGATCCCAAAATCCAAGAGTATCTCATTATTATTGCTTTTTTTCTTACAACAGCCTCTGATTTATTTACATGGGGAAACCCAGTCGTTTGCACAGTTCCCAGTTTTGCTTAACTGTGTCTGGTTGGTGCTCATTCCATCTCTCAGTGGTTTCGATTTTGTGCTTCTTACATATCTTCCAGTATCGCTGTCGCTGTTATGTCTGTGGGTATATTCATTTTTTGCAAGTTTCAGGCATACTGAGATTATATGGCCGACAGTTTCATCATATTTTCCTTATATCCTGCATTTCGGATTAGTTCCATTCTGGTTATGTGACAATGATAGGATCTGATTGCGAGGCTTTGATCCTGAGCTGCAATAATTAGTCCTTCTGTCTCAGCTTTCAACCCGGTACTCCTCAGCCACTGATGTGCTTTCTGTTGGTCCATATCTACCTTTTAGTTCTTTTTAGGCATTTGCCATGCAACGATTTGTCCTTGCAGTTTTTTGTTGTTTTTTTAATTTCATTTGCCCAAATTGTTTGGCTTTTTGTTTTACTCGTTTAGCATAGATGGTATTCGCTTCGTTTTTTGTTGGTAGAGTTTCAGGTATATTAAGCTGTTTCTTGAAGGGTGCAACTTCTTTGTTGATAGAGTAATTTTGGCGTTTTACTATTTGTAGGTGAGGGACATTGGTTTTTGTGAAGTACGCTTCCAATCCGATTGTTGTTGTTTTTACAATTAGTTCAAGTTGGATTAGATATCGGCCTCATTATTATTATTATTATTATTATTATTATTATTATTATTGTCTCTTCTGTTTTGCATTCTTGTTTTTATGATTGTTTACTGGGGTTTACAGAATCCCCTAATGTCAATGTTTATTAATCGATATACTTACCGCGATTCTTCCTTCCTTTTACACTTTAAGACCAAGTGATTTATTTTTTTTTATCTTCAGTTTACACCAAGAAAGCAGTGAGATAAAGTGAAAATGACATAGACGGTTGTACCTGTGGTGATAATATGTAGGGAGGAAGAAGCAATGGTAATTTAGAGAATGTTCTTTGCTCATCACGACTCTTATCGTTATCCTAGGTTGAGGAGGGCGTGCGCGCTTGCATAAAAAACGTAGCCATGGAAATAACATTGACCGATGTACATACTAACATATCATCACGCCTATACTTGGACTTTTGCATACAAAATATCGTACACATATACTTACATTCCGTTTTTTAATAACATCGAGTCTTGCTCAACAATAAGATGCTAAAACAGTAGAAGTGAAAGTTTTAATGAAGACAGTTGAAAATCTGCTTATCACTTTGCCCGCCTTAGGATTCTATAACAATATTCGATTTAAAAATACAATGATAGAATGATTAATGAGTGAATGAATGATTTCAGAAAGATAAAAAAAGCGTTTACCTCTCTCATGGTCTGAGAACTTTGACGAAAATTGTCACTTCTTTATATGTCCATATTTACTTAATGTTCTTCCAAATTATTGACTAAACTTCTTTATTCTATTTTTTAACAGCCCTGGTTCAGCAATCTGTGAAAATGCACTGTCACGTCTAACAGTAAACAGTCAAGAAAAAAGCAGTTCGCCGCCTGGATCTTTGCTAATGTCAGATCACCCGAATCTGCAATCTTCCAGTTCTCCAGATATCATTAGTACAAAAACACCTAGCATTCCATTTTGCTCCTTTACCAACGCACGTCAAAGTCTACATGGTGCGATACCCATAATGTCACCCTCAATATCAATGCCAGGAGCTCTCGGCTTGCCAGCTGCTTGGTTGCAGTATTCATTGTATACTCCCCCATCGGCTAGCGGTGCCGATCCGAGAACACTCGGTTTGGCCGACTATCACCACCAGTTGAAGCAAACCGGCTTACCGGCTGATTTGTCATATCTCAAATATAAAGCGCCGTTGATGAACAGAAACTATCTGGAATTGGCCATGCTGGTATGCAACACATTTCGGGGAAAGTTATTTCCGTGTCCGCATTGTCGCTATGTGACCGACAGACGCAACAATCTCAAACGCCATATTTCGACCATGCACCAAGCTTGCGATAAAGTGCTCGAATGTTGCGGGGTAACTTTCTCAACTAAGGCATCATTGCGGGAACACATCATGATCTTCCACCACAATGGCTACTCGTGTCCATTCTGCGGCCGACGCTTCTGCCGGAAGGCATTACTCAGGCGTCACTTGTCTGTTCACAATGGTCAGAAAGATTACAACTGTCCACACTGTGACTACGCCACCAGTCACAAGAGCAACCTGGAGCGTCATAAGAGAATCCATGAAAGATTGAAAATTAACGAACAGGCAGCATCACTTTTGCCACGGAATCTCAGCAGCCACAGTAGCAGTAGTGACAGCAGTACTCATGTTGTTATCGGTACTTCTAAAAATTGTCCAATTGAGTGCGATTCTGGAAGCTGTTCGCAAATACCAGACACAACTGTTATGCCGGGTAGCAGCTGTTCTTCAGTTGAAGAGAACGAAAATAGCCCAATTCCCTTGTTAACCACTGGTAGAAGATCTTCTCTTCCCGCGAGAGACAGTCTCAGCTCAGTATCAAGAGATCAAGAATGAAGGGCTTTTGAAATTTCTTCCTTTTCCTATTTTTTCTTTTTTCTTCAATTTAATTTCCTTTTATTTATGACTGCAACTGAGAAATCGAGAAAACTCAGATTTTCTCTTTATTTATTTTTAGTTATGATATTTTGTCTGATTAATTCAAATTTCTTCATTTTCTTCTTATGGCTTTTGTTTAAACTGTCACAGTTTTTATTGACTTTCACTTTCCTTATTTTCTGTACAAATTCATTAATTTTTACATTGATTTGTGAAAGAATTTTGCTTCATCGTGTATTTCATTCACGATTTCTATCGCAAGAAAGAAACCAGAATCTGAATTCACAATAAAATCCAAAAACAAAAAAAAAATGGGAATCGGGGAATCAGAAATCCTGTTTTGTCAATCATTGAATAGAATTGTTTTTTTTTTTTTACCAACATTGTGCCACTTGTGAAGAGGCACGCATAAGTGATTGTTTATTACAGGCAACTTAACTCTGTCTGATTAACGGAGCGGGTCAGTGTTTATTTTCGACTCTTCTTAATGTCAGCCTTTTCCTAGTTACGATGTTCAGCACGAGTTCAATTGTAAATAATGCGCAACATTTTATGCTGCTTGCTTTCCGTCTGTTCTTATTAATTATATGTATATTATAATAGCTATTATGCTCGTGATTCCATTGATAGCATCAATGTAATGCTTCTTGTAAATAAACTTATCCTATCAATATGATATTTTCTTAAATTTATTCTGTGATTTTATTCTTGACTTTATTTTAAAAAGGAGGTCTGTTTCTTATTATTGAATCAACTTACTTTGTTACTCCACACTCTTGACTGGAAACTCATTTTCATGTCACAATTGTGTCTAAACTTTTACAGTCGCTATTGCCATCAATATGTACGTTACTTTCTGCTTATAAAGCAAGATACAAACAAAAGAAAAAGATGACGTTGCCAAATTTATGATTTCTTTATTTTGACTCTAGAACTGATGTTAATTTAGTACCAAACATCTTTAATATATTTCACGTTGTCACAAATTTTCATGCTTAATTTTTGAAAAATTATCCTTATTTTTCCCCCTATTTTTTGCAGGATAAATATCTTAACTGTGACAGCTTTCTTGTTGAGTCATTTTGGAAAAGAATGTTAACGTTTCCACTGTAATAACAACACTTTCAACAAATCCACTAATAATTATCAGGTTCAAAAGTAAATAAATATTCACTTCAAAAGTGTTAAACATCTTATAAATTTATATTATTCCGTAAGGAAACTCTTGCTGCGAACAAGTAACTTTAGTTTTTAAAATAATATAAAAGTTCTACTAATCATATATAAAGGTTTCTTATCTATCTATCTATCTATCTATCTATCTATCTATCTATCTATCTATCTATCTATCTATTTGCTCACATCTATTTGCAAATCATAAAAGGTTGCTAGCATCTTTACGACATACTTACAAAAATAGTATAAAAAAGTTCAAAAATGCTTTCCCACGAAATTCGGGTTTCTCCAGTTACGTTAATTATGGCTTTACATTTTGATAGGTAAGACTTGACAAGAAGTGAGGCTCACAACGGGAGAGATTGGGAGAGGAAAAGAGAAAAGGGAAGAGTATAACAAATGAGAAAGATAAGATGTGAGAGGAAAAGGAGAAAAATAAAAATAAAAAATACGAGAATTGGTAGAGGAAAATGAGTCGAGAAAACGACAAGTCGCGTCTGGTTGTTGATAAAAGAGCCACACTACTGAGTGGTTGATCTTGATTATTAAAAAAAAAATAAATAAAAAGTTAGATATTCTCTTGCCCACCCCGAGAGACAATGTGATGATGGTCCATAAATTAGTGGATTTCATAAAAAAAATAATAAACTTGACAAACAAACAAAACACAATGACAAGCTTCAGTGTGAAATGATATGGTGAATTTTACGGCCTTGAACGATTGCGGCCTACGCAGCGTCTGACCGGCGACTGTTGGCTATGAACGGGTACAGGCGGTGTAATGTGAAGAGCACCGGCCTTATTCGGTCAGGTTCGGCGGGATATCACTATTGTGGGGTCAGATCAGAGCTGAAATGGTCGGTAGACTTTGTGACACAGTTGCTTATATTATTGACAATGGATGTTGAAATTTTTACAACCGTCTCTTTTAAGCACCTGACAGCAAATGAGGTTAGTAAAGAGGGCCGTAGAGGATAAACCTAGGGATAAATTAAAAAAGGCAGTTCGGATAAGGCATGAAATCGCCCCATTCAGTGTTTATCATGTTCCAGTTATTTTACTTGATGACAGATACAAATCTGATCCGCATCAAGCGGCGATTTAGAGTCTCTCTTTTTTGACTTATGCTAATGCAAACATCGTCTGCTCCAGTGATTCTTCAGTGTTCAAACGAGTAATAAACAAACTACGTCGTTTTAAAAGCGTTTATGGTGAGCAGTCACTTTTTTACACGGTTAAAAAGAATGGGGATAACAGAAGTAAAACGCATTTTAAGAAATACTGGCGCAAGAATAATTATTTCAAAACAAAGCTACTCACTATAGATCAGGTACCGCTACACTAGACATTCTTTAAAAAGAAAAGCTAAAAACGCATTTTAAACAATTTAATTTTGAAGTTAAATTATCGATTTATTTAAAATGTTATCGTCTTACGTTAATCGATAAAAAAGAAAAAATGTTTTACGACTTAAATAAAGAGTTTAGATATTTTTAAGACAAAAAAATAAAAACAAACTTACTTCCCCAGTTCGATTAGCAAATTTTATGGAAATTTTATTAATAAAATCTAATATCTGTTCCAGAGATTTGTTTCGAAGAAAAATAGTAATTTTAAGGATTAATATTACTTTCAGTTTAAAATAAACTTTCCTCTATGGTACCTAGATTTTATGAATTTAAACGCAGTACTAGATTGGTGACAAGCTCTCGTCATTTTGCAGTTGAAATGGCTAGGGATAACCGTCAGTTTTATGCTAACAGTTTCTTCTGTCGCTTCCGGCTTCTTGCTTCCCAGTCAATTCTGAACTTCAAAAATGTAAATGCAATGTCAATCGTTATCTTCCGTCTTCTTAATACTTGTTCTTTTATTGTTCTCTCTCCTTAATAGTATTTTTGTTCTTTTTTTCACATAATCTCTAACACTCGGTAAGCCCTTGCGTCTTACTGGCTTTATTGCCTTGCTTGGGAGGAAATGATGAGAAAATACGGAGGTGTTGTCTTTCTGTCGTGTCGAGTGATTTATCGACAGCCCGATTTTTGGGAAATTTAAGTAAGGTGGACAGAACAGAAAAAAGTTACTTGACGAATACAACGGGAATACCATTTTTTAAAATATTTTTTTAATTACACTGTAATCTTTAAAAATTAAGAAAATATTTATGCAATGTCATATTTTATTGAATTTTAGGTACTTTGGCTTTATAGCCTTACATATGAAAACGCTTGGTGAGAAAGTGTAATAAAATTACCAATAAATTTTTAATTTATTATAGATACCTCCTTTATTGTTTGATAATGTCATCTGTGAATGGCCGAATTTACAAAAATCGACAGGTTTAAACACACACACACATTCACAAATATTTTTAAAATAGTGGGTGTCGTTGAATTGTAATGAACTGTTACATTTATAATTAGTAAATACAGTTTTAATTTAATAGCAATATCACTTGACCGCTACAGATTAATACAGAATATTAAAATATTTAAAAGTTTATAAATTATTTTAATTAAAATTTTAAATAAAAAAAAAACAATTCTTGTAAAAATTCGTTACTCATCAAAAAAAAAAAAACTTCTTAAAAAAAATTAGAATCTTTTAAGATTACTGGGTATTTAAAAAGTTATATAAAAATGGCGTTTACGTTGTATTCGTCATGTAATAACAATTATCGATTCCTTAGATAAATTTCCGAAACATCAGGTTGTCGATAAATGTGTCAACACTCACCTCCGTGTACAAAAATGCTTTTCTCCGATATTTTCAATTAAAAGTAAGTAATATTTGCTTCAATTCCAATTAATTAAATTTTAAATCAGTTAATTCTTTTCAAATAATGATTCAGAAAAGGACATATTATTTTTTATTAAAGAGTATTATGTTGTGTTGACAGATTTTATCGATTCTACTGATAATTTTACTTCTATCCCTCCTCTTTTCACACAATTTGAAGTTTTAACATCTTCTGATGTTTTACTCGTAAATTCTCTTCAAATTCTAATTCACTCGTCTGGAGTATTATTGCCTGACATTCCACTTAGAACTGAGTCTGTATTGAGTTATATGCACATTGATCCATCCATGGTTTCTATTACCATCTCTAAACTGGATCCCCACAAAGCATGTGAACTTGATTTTATCCCTGCAATAGTCCTTAAGAAATGTACCTCCTGAACTGGCTCCTGTTCTCTCCAAACTCTACAATAAATGCTTTGCTGTTTCTTTCTTTCCTACTTGTTGGAAATCTGTAGTTTAAGTCTTTAAGAACTCAGGCGAATGGTCAGATTCTTCTAAATATTGGCAGGTGTTCTCTTCTACCTCTTTTTGGCAATACACTTGATGCTCTAATCAACGCTGAATTAGTTAAGCGTCTCACTTCGCAGTCTCACTTTCAAATAATCAATATGGCTTTTCTTTCTGGGTCAACTTCTCGGGTAAAAGGTTATGGTATTTCTGGACGAATTTTTTAACTGTAACAGCCTTTCTTATCGAATAGCGAAACGAATGTTGTCTAGAATGGCCACTCTTCTAGATCTTTTTGCATTAATGCAGGTGTTCTCCAGAGCTTTATCCTTAGACTTACGTTGTTCCTAATTTTCATCAGCGACCTTCCTGATGTCTATGATTATGACACAACTATTTACTCCTGTCTTAATAGTAAGTCTGATCGGTTTGATAAGATGAAATTAGCATTTGATCTAAAAGAATGACCTACAGTCTGTTTGTTGTCAACTGGATCAAGGAATGGCTTGATAATTGTAATGCTTTCAAAATGAAACCGCTCTCTTTTTGCCAGAATCTGTCTTACATATTTATAAGTTTATTATTCGTCCATACATTGAATATTGCTGCCACGTATGTTCTGCTGTTTCTGCTATATATTTAGAGATTCTTGATAAAATACAATTCTTGATAAAATACAATGAATAATCTGCATTGTTATTGGTCCTAACCGGGCATCTAGGCTTCAGACATTTTCCTACCGTCCTAATGTATCTTCCCTGTGGTCTCCTATAAATACTTTCATAGCAATAATTCTGATGAACTTTTCCCGATATCATCTAGATTGTATGAATTTAAGCGCAGTACTAAATTGACGGCAAGGTTTCATCATTTTGCAGATGAAATGGTTAGATGTTCTATGTTCTACAGTTTCTTCTATCACACTTCTCGCTTGTGGAACTCCCTTCCAGCCTTTTGCTTCCTAATCAACTTTGATCGCCAAAAACTTAAATGTGATGTCAATCGTTATCTTCGATTTTCTTAATTCCTGTTCTTTTATTGTTCTCTCTCCTGAATAGTAGTTGTTTTCTTTTATACTCAGTAATTCCTTTCGTGCTAGTGTCTTTATTGCCTTGCTTGAGGGTGAAATGATTTTTAAAAATCATACAAAATTATTTAAATTCAGTATAACAAGGCATTTTGCTTATTAGAAATATTAAATTTAATCAATTAGCTTGAAATTAAAACTAAAATAAAAGCTTCAAGAAAAACTGTTCTTATTTTAAAATGCATTTTAAACCTTAGGCACCGACTTTTTGGAAGGCACCAAGTTATAAGATAAAAATAAACTCTCATAAATCTTTCTTGAATGGAATCAATATTGTATTGCAATGATTTTCGTGGATATTAAGTGTAGTTTTATATGCTGTAGATAATTTAATTCTCATATGACTTGTTTACAATTATTACATTTGTGAGATAATTTTTATATGTTAAGAAATGTAAGCAAATATATGGATATAGATCCGACAGTATGAAGAAAAATATACTGAAAAAACAAAATTGTATATGGTCTATGTTAATTATGTTTTATGAATATGTCCTGAAGATGGTCTATTAGACCGAAACGATCGACGTTGACATTAAACATTAAAACAGCATAATCGCATATTAGGATTTTTGTTTGTTTTTTCAGTATATTTTTCTTCATGTTAAGAAATATAATGTAAAAAAGTCACTTTTATGTATATATTTTTATATTCATGCTTGAAAGGACAATTTTATAGATTTTACTGATAATCAAAAAAAAAAGTAATAAATATAATTCCAATCAATTTAAATTCGGATTGAAATAGAGCAAAAATATTATACTTATTTAAAATATTAAATTTAATCTATTGGTTTGAAATTAGAACTAAAATAAAAGTCTATTAGGCTTCATTTATAAGTTTGCAAATCATTATTGGTTATTTCTCGATT